TTCTCGAACAGCTTACCCAGGATCGAGGTAAGACTGACTGGCTTGTAGTTCCCCTGTAGTTAAACTAGAATAGATATGAAGTAGTAGGAAACAGTTTCAAACTACTAAAAATATGAGCATCACAAAATTCATTGGACTAGTCTGAATAAGATACTACAGCAGGTCTAGTATTCTAATACAAGGTCTGACATGACCCACATTCAGTCTTGGCCTGCTTTTCTCTCTGGTGTCCTGGTGGACCCCATGGTCTCACTTGCTCCAATCAGTCCTCAGGCCTCTTTGAGCTCAAATCAGTTTTCAGGTACTACTGACATGCCCCTTTTCCTTCTCCACCCCTCCCCACCCTGCCAGTCTATCATGGCTCAAAAGCCCACAATATCTCAGAAATCAAAATAATTATTCATTCTGCCTCAAGTGCCTTCAGTGGCCTCTCATCTCCCCAGTAAACTTCCTATTCCTCATGACAAGGATTATGAGGTCAAAAGCATGCCTTGCCCAAAATTAACAAAACTCACAAACAGTTCCAAACATACAACACAAAATCCCTCCAAGGTGCCTGTTTCCTAGGTGTAATTGTGCCCAAAATGTTCCCTTCCAGCTGTCTACCCAGTTCCACATCTTCTGAATTTATTCACAATTTGGTTCAAAATATGCCCACAAATGGAAGTCATTTTTTTAGAAGTATGCCTCAACACGACACAGGGTATATACTTGCCTTCCCATGCAGCCTTCTCATATCTGCCACTAGGAGTCAAGACATATTTCATTGATACCAAAGGAGTTGTTCCCAATGTACAGTGGAATAACTCAAAAACCGATAATCAGACCCTTTTCTATATTTTAACCTTTATTTTAAGTTCAAACATTTTTCTTACAAATATTTTCATTTTAACTACTTTTATTTGATGTATTGATAAGTAAAGATAGAAGTGAGGCATACAAATTAAACCAATTAAGTGTCAGTCAGTCAGAATCCCCACTACTGTATTTCATGTCAACATTACCATTATTATATTCTTTGTTCTCGAATAATGCTAGAGACTGGTGTGCCATCATGTTAGGCTAGTGATTCTCAACCAGGGTGTCTTGAGGTACTTTCAAGGGTACTACATAATGGCATACTGCTAGGTGTGCAAACATGACTTACAAGATAAACCCAAAGGGCATTTATACACATGCTCTAGGAGTGGGCAGTGGGAGAGTACTTTAATTAGAGTGGCTCCAAGAGCTGCTCTAATTAAAACACCCAGAGCATCTTGTGCATCAGCATCCCCACACTTAAAAATGGTGATAGGGCTCTTTAACTAAAGTTCATTCAACAAGTTTTAACTAAAGGGCTCCTGCCAACATTTTTAAGTACATAGATGCTGCTACATGAGATGCTGGAGTCTGCTGGAGCATGGTTATTACCACACTTCAGCAGACTCGTTAATTGAACCTGCTCCAACATGCTGTAATTACAGCATGTTGGAACAGCCTCGCTGCTGTATATAGGTACCCAAATATTTCAAAGAGGAATCCATAATGTCACAAATATTTTAACCTGGAGTTGTATTTCTGAGTTCCTTTCATTAGAAAAAAAGTTCTATTACTTTTTGTAGTCATAAACTGGTAAAAACTAAAAGTTGGCATTTTGAGGGGTGCCTTGAATGTAGCAAGAAGTGCCCCAAGTCTAAAAAGGGGTGCTTTGAGTCTAAAAAAGTTGAGAATCACTGTGGTAGGCCTTGAACTAAACTGATGGTCCCTCCCCAACCATAAGGTTTGCCTAAGAAAGAGCAGGCAAACTGTGCTTTAATTGGGAAGAAAGAGAACAATAATAATTATTATTTATTTGATTTTATGCTTTTTGAATAGATTATTTTTAAAAGTGGTGGTTAAAATCTGAACCTTAATAAAGCTACCATAAGAGTTTCTCCAACATCTTCAGAAGGCCAAACATTTCACCCAAACAAGTGGTGGCATAAAGAAGTTACTGAAGTAAAGATAAAGTACTTTGTTTTCAGCAGTTGGGAAAATTAATATAACCAAAGATTGTCTTACTTTTCTTGCAACAGGATGATGAGGTAAGAGAAAGTCGATTCAGTTTTACAGCCTATGGAATGGGACCATGTCTGCAAGCAAAAGATGGAGTGACTCCAAAAGGGCCAAGTAATCCTGTTCAAGCTGCACCAAAAAGCTCTGATGAGATGAGGAAGGTATTCATTGACCGGGCCAAGAAGATAGACACCATTTCCAGGGCTTGCTTCCCATTAGCCTTTTTGATTTTCAACATTTTTTACTGGGTCATCTACAAAATCATTAGGCATGAGGATATTCACCAATAACAAGATTAAGGCTTCTAGTACATACAGTTTGGGCTGGCATATTCAGCTGGAGGTGTTCCATTGCAAATGTGTGTGCAGATACTGACTGGGCTAGTTAAAAGGCACAGAGGGGGAAAAAAAGATTTCATTTGACTTGCTATGCAAAGTCACAATGGGATTGATGAAGACTGGCACCCAAGGAAGATGCAGTCTGCTACTACAAAAATTTATATGCATTTACTAAATGTAATCAACTTTTTCATAGTAAATCACACTATATGATAGCTTTACTGCCAACGTGTTTATACATACTGTTACATAGTGGGATAATTGTACGGTACTCTTTAAAGTTCCTTACGATTTTTTAATTCATTTGTATTTTTAAATTACAAAAATGGGTCCAAAAATGTCTCGGATAAATTCATAGATTATACAAACAAAGATTCTACTAAAATTTCTAACTCTGATTTCAGTCTTACAAGATCACAGACTACTGATTAGTGTTTTAGTCTAGCATATTTTCTTGATTTAGTAATTCAAATGGGATTTGTAATGAGCACAGGATATACTTAGGTTATTTTTTGTGTGTTTTAAACTTCTTACTTAGACTAAGGACTTCATAAATTAATTGCAGTCCCTCTGGAGATTTAAATGTGTGTCAGTGTAATGCCCAATGTAGCACAAGGTATCTACTGCCTCGTCTGAAGTCAGACATCCTGGTACTGTCACATATCACACTGAGACCATGTTGCTATTTTGAAAGGACTGTTCTGTCTAAAAATTTTAATTACCTGTAATTCACTCTTTGATGAATCAAAGAAAAACATTTTTTATCCTTTTGATAGATTTTTTAATTTTTTTCCTCATCAGATAACTTATACACAGAGTATTTTGGGGGACAAGCTCGGTAGAAAATTTTATGATGTCTCATTTTTAACTTGCTGGAAAATGACATAACATATTAAAAGTCTGAAAATTGTTTGCCGGATACATATTGTTTAAGTAATTCTAGCTGAAGCATTTTGAAGATGAATATAGCAGTGTTTATGCACGTATAACTCCCACTGTTTTCAGTGAGATTATAATGTATGTGTTCATAGAGAACTCTGGCTCAGTCTTTTCTTATGTTTAATGACTTGCTCAGTGAGGAGATTCTGACAGGATTTCTTACATACTGGTAGGAAATATTCTGTATCTTTGAAAAAAATAATGTTTTATTTTTTAAATGAAAAAAAGATAAGGATATTCCTTTATTTTTACTGTACTTTACCATAATAGGAGTATTTATATAAAAAATTGGAGAAATTCTTCCTTACTTAAAATTACATGGATCATATTAATTTCTTCTTTAATTTATTACACAATCAACTCTTTTTATGGTATTAAAAAAACAACAACATTGAAGTGAGCAATCTGGCCACATTTTTTTCTATTAAAAAAAAACAACTTGACAGCTAGACAGAAAAATTTTACCTGGTATTCCAAACTTTCAGTGAAATCCTGTCACTGAAACAATTTGTTTTTGCAAATTTGTTATTTAGTTTGAGCGTGTTTTAAATGTTTGGTTTGTTATTGCTCACAGTGCATACACAAAAGCAAAATACAGCTGAAAGCAAACATCTGCCGCATAGCTAGTGGCATACTGCATATGAATGAACCATAGCAACATATCATTGCATTGAAGATTATGATGTGGTGACCTTGTTTTAGTTTTTCTCTGAGGATTAGCTAAGAATATTTGAAAAATAATGGCTACCTAGATGTGTTAAATGATCTTAGAAAACAACTTAATAACTCTCTTCAGTGTTATTTTATCAGTTTTTCATGTATTGTTTAAAAAAGAAAATTCATTCTGAGAAATGATTTATAGATATGTAGTACTGTTTTCACTGATCTGTTGAGAAAATCTGGTAAAAAATGCTCGGGGAAAGTAGTTAGCTGCGTTAGTCCGAAGTCAGGCAACAGGCAGGTAGATTCGCACCTTATAGGGAGCATCTACATGTGTGCTTTAATGTGCAGTAGCCTATTTTACTGCACACCAAAACATCATGTAAAAAACCATTTGATTATGCTAATGTGCAGTAAAATAGGCTACTGCACATTAAGCATCACTTAAAGACCATGCACATTCATTACTGTGTATCTGAGGCAGCCTAATGTGCATTTCTTTAGTACGTCGCGTTGGAGGTACTAAATTTAATACGCATTAGCAAAAGTACTTTAATGCATGTGTAGATGTGCCCATAGACTAACTAAATCAAGATGCTTAAGCTTTCATAAGCAGCAGCTTGCTTTATCAGATGCTCAGAAAGGGCTGCAGGAAGCACAGCTTCTTAACAGAAAGCAGGGATTAGAATATGAAAGGTAGAGAAAGGGAAAGGGACATTTATGGAACAGGAAAAATGAGGAAATGAGAGGAAACAAAGCAGTTAAGCCATTGAGTGGCCTAGGGGTTATAAAAGCTAACTGAGATAATGAGATAAAAATCTATAGTCTTGGCTTGGACCTGGGCTGTTAAACTTTAGAGGGGCCAGGGTCTGCACAGGTCATAGTCTTCATGAAGTGGGGGGCTGCACAAGCTCCTCATGACCCTTGCTGTGTGAGCAAAGTGACAACCCCACTGCGGCTACTGTATGAGCCACCCTGCTGCTGCTATGTGAAACGCAGGGTCCCCCCACTATGTAAGCTCCCTCACTGCTACCACTACTCTGGCAATCACCTTTCCCCTCCCCGCCTACACTGCTGTGCAAGCAGCATGAATTCCCCTCTACCACCATCACGTGCCTCCTCCCCACTGTCATATGAGCCCCTCTGCTGCACCCACTCTGTGGGCAATCCCTTCCCACTGCTGCTGCCATGGGAGCAGCATGAGCCCTCCCCCACTAGTGTCCTGGGCAGCAAGCTCACTGGCCTTCCCATCGTGCCATCCTGCCCTAGAGACCCTAGCTACAACTGCCACGCCAGGCAGAATAACAGGGATAGAGGCAGCCAGGCAGGAGCCTGAGGGCTGCACATTAATCCCTTGCAGTCCAGATATAGCCTGCAGGCCACCAGTTGGACAGGTCTGGTTTAGATCATACTTAATGAAATCCAGCCTGTGGAGGATTTCTTGTTCCACAATTTTCAAATTAAGTTCATTTTTTAAATTTTGCTGAGAACAGGAACATTTAGATCAGTGGTGAACTGTCCAGGGAGGTCAAAATGTTCTTCCATGGGCCATTGTATCTTTCTTTGGAATTGATGTCAGAGCAGTGTTCATTTATTCTTTCATGTAGGTATCTCCCCATTTGTCCATGTAGAGAGCACAGGGGCACTATAGGCAAGTAATGGCACATAGGATGATTGTAAAGAAACAAATTAATTAATGTTACATTGCTTGTTATTAGATGAGGGGGCACAGCCGGCTGCTGGGTCTAGAGCAACATCTGGTGCCTTTGTGAGAATAGGAGTTAGGTAGTCTCCTGCTGGACTGATGTTGTTTGAAGCTGGGGGGCTGTATATAAACTAGGACAGGTTTGACTGCCATGGCTACCAATACTACTATATTTGCCAAGTTTTGATTCAAGTTTTTGGGGGGCGGGGTTAGTATACCTTACAAAAAGAGAGGTTGGCCTGTTTTAATTTCCACTGAAGTCAACAGTAAGTCTCTGACTTCAAAGGAACAGGATTGGGCCCATTATCAGGAAGCAGTCATAAAATAGCATATAATCATCCAGGCTTGTCTTTTTCTTTCTTTTCTAAATAGCTATACTAACCTCACCAGACACCCTCTGTCCAATAAATAAGTTCATTTAAAACAAAACACAAAAAAACAAAACTTGGGCCAGAGCCTCAACTGTTGCTAATACAATCAATGGGCGCATCCAGGTAAGCTCAGACATGCAGCATGCAGTGCCGCACACTACACACACTGCACATGCAGGCATTCCCCACGCTGCTACCTTGCAACCCAGGGGGGGGTTGACCCTGAGAGATATTATTTAAATAAATGGGGTGGTGCATGTGGCAGAGACTGGCTGACTGGAGCCATGCTAGCCAGGTCCCTGCTGCAGGATTGCTGCAACTGCAGCTCTGGAGGCCCCCAGGACCTCAGGTGTAAGGTTGCTGTGGCCAGAACAGTTGCTGGCCCCAGCTTCTCCTACGCCACCTGGGACAATGTACCATGCACAAGACTGTGTTTCCCTAGAACACACATGGCATGGGCGTTCCAGGGAAACACACATTTCCACTCTTGGGGATGTACCCCAATAAAGCTACACCAATTTGCACCAGCAAAGGATCTGGTCCATGCTGTTTTTTTTCCAAAATTCCAATAATTTGACTATTATCGGCACACATGCAATACCATTACTTTGAAGAGATTTGAACAGAGATAAACAACACATAATGAATCATTTACTGACTTAAGTGAACTTTAATAGTGGGAGAGAAGAATTAAGACTAAGGAAGAAAAAATATATTTTTAGAAAAAAAAATTAAACGGGGGGAAGGAAAGAGAGAGAGAGAGAGAGGGAAGCTGATTTTGCAAGGCAAAATTGAATGAAGAGCTCCTTCATAAGGGAAAACAATCAGTGTATTTCTGTAACTACTGTGCATTTAATGATACGCTATACAATCTAATACAGTATATACATTATTAAAAGAAACTTATGACCCTTCAGTATAGTTGCTCTACTGATTTTCCTCCTGGACTAGAATTATATATATTTATTATTTGATAACAGATAATGTATTGATACTAAGGGGAGCTATACTTATACTGAACAAAGTATATGACCTTCTAGACAAGATGATTGCAAATTACTTCTAAATTTATATTTAAAATTAATAGAATTGTATATATTTTTAAAACAAGACAAAAAACTGTCATTGGAACACAATAAAAACGTGGGAGTTTTTTGTCAATTAATACAATATTTGGAATGTAATCTTGACCCACTTGTGTCAATGATCATGGGCTCTTTACTGCAGAAGGACCAATATTTCCTTGTTAGACAATAATTCTACACTTTTGACTTGAACCTTTATAATTAGCTAGGTAACAGGGGGCTATGCAGTCAGCTACGAAATGTATGGTTCAGGAAATGGCACTGTAACCAGTTGGCAGTTTGCAGCTTAAGTTGAATTCAAAATCTTCTTATTCAAATGAATGTAAAAACAAAGCAGTCATACATTATATAATGAAGGCTAAGTACAGACAGTCAAAAAGCCTGAGGCTGAATCGATTCAGTCTTTGCAGGTTAGACTAAACTGCACAAATTAAATTGAAACAGAAGTAAACAGACATTTACCTTTGATTCAGGAAATGCAGTCACATGCATGCAGTGACTCAGGCCAGAAGCCAGAGGCATGCTAGAGCACAGCTCTCTAGCTGTATATTCACTTCCTTTTCCTGCTGCCCCAAGGTCTCTGGGA